TCTGTTGTTGTATACCCCAATTCCACTGCGTATCTGTCTTGGTCTTGCTGGATTTCTTGCCACAGTGTCCAACTAACATATTTGTGAGAGGTTTGGCAATTTTGGCATAATCGGGAACAAAACCTGGACCCTGAGAAGCCCAAGAAACGACGAACATCGTCCACATTCTGTGGAACTGGCCAGGTCTGAAGGGCTGCAATTTTCTCAGGATCGGTGGTGATGCCGTCCTCAGAGATTACATGACCCAGATATTTCACAGAGGTTTGCAAGAATTGGCACTTAGAGGGTTTCAACTTGAGGCCATTCTCACGCAATCGCTGAAGGATTGCTCGTAATCTATCTAGATGCTCGTCAAAGGTCTTAGAAAACACAATGACGTCATCCAGATAAATGAGGCACTGCAAAAGATGCATATCACCCATACACCGTTCCATGAGACGCTGGAAAGTTGCAGGAGCATTAAGTCAGACCAAAGGCATCGAATTGCACTCGTAAAATCCTAATGGACCAACTGTGAAAGCTGTACGAGGCTTGTGCTCTTCTGCGACTTCTACCTGCCAGTAGCCGGACTTTAAATCAAGACATGAAAAGAACCGAGCTCCATGAAGTGCATCAAGGGTCTCTTCTATCCTGGGCAGAGCCGCACGAATCGCGAATCGTGCGTTTGTTCAACTCTCTGAAGTCTATACAAAAGCGAAGAGAGGAATCTTTCTTGCGTACGAAGTACCACAGGGGAAGCATAGGGACTAGTTGAAGGGTATGACCTTAGCATCTAACATTTGTCTAAGATGATCCCTTACCTCTTGATACATAGAAGGCGGAATGCGCGATGTCTTTCCCTGAATGGCTATTAGATTCGATGAGCTCAATCCTATGAGTTACTGAGTCTGTGTGCCCCATATCTAAGTCATACTTACTAAAGACATCATCAAACTCAGATAGGAGAGACTTCAATGGGGAGATCTGCTCTGGGGTATGTGACGAAGAAGAGAGAGGACAGATTGAACAAAGTAAGTGGTTCGGGAGATCCAGGAATAGTCGGCCCGTCTTCAGAAGGAAGACCTTCAAGCAAATCAACTTGCTCTAAGCAGCAAAGAACTGTCCTAGATGGAATGGTGATTGATTTAGAAGAGGGATTCGCGACTTCAACCTTAACCCTAGTTGTCGACTGACCTGACTTAAAGTTCACAATGCCATTAACAAGGTTAAGGGAACCAGGAAGTGTGGGAGAAGAAGAGGCAAAAAAGTGTTTCCCTTTTTGTGGTGGCTTACCTCGGCAAATACCAGTAACAATCTGATTGCAGAGTGCAGGGACAGTAATTGACCTTGTTGTCCGCACACTTTCCGTACGATCGAGATCAACCCGAGAATTAACAAGCCACTGACGCGCCCGAGTCCACACTGGAGAAGATGAACCTGAGATAGGTGAACCCAGTAGACAGCAAGCATAATCCATGGCATTGGTACCAAGAACCAAGGGCACTTTATGGTGATATTGAGTTGTTGGTACTATGAGAATAGGAGAAGGTACCTGCACAGCTTCACCAAGAAAGTCACTGGGAATATCAATAACTGCATTAACATACCCAAGATAAGGTAGCTTACAATCCCCAGCACCTTTTAAATCTAAAAGTGACCCAAGGTCTAGAAGAGGGAGATGTTTGAGGTTCTGTTGGTGGAAGGCCTCTGACATGCTCGAGATCTGTGAGCCTGTGTCAAGGAGAACACTACAGGAGATACCTTCAACCTCAACAGTAGCTACATTAGATGGTCCCACAAGATTTGACGGGATCCAATTGGAGCTATTTTCAGAGTCCAATACTCGCTCCATAGTTTGGACTCTTAGGAGTTTAAAGGCCGACAACCATAATGCCCCCTTTAACCCCAGGAGCCCCACAATCAAAGCAATATACTTGATTGGAAGTTGGTTTGTGGGGTAGCTAAAGAACCAGAATAACCAGAAGAGGAACCAGTAACGGGACCAGAGGAACCAGTAGAGGAACTAGAAGAGGAAATCCCAGAGGGTTTGGCCTTATTTATGTAACTGTTGGGTTTTGAAGATGTTTTGTGCTGGGTATTGCATTGGTGTGGTTCTCCAATGTTTTACCCTTTCCCTAGGACTCTAAGATTCTTACTCAGTTCCTTTAGGCGAGAAATCACATCATCCATCTGTTGGCTGGTTGGTTGAGATGAAGATGACTGCATTAGATGTGCTTCTCGAGGGGATGCCAACTCTTCTTCAACTCGGCGGACAGCAAGCGGAAAGCTTGTTAAATTCCAGTCCCGAATCAAAGTGGTGGACGAGTTGCCTGCTTCAGGTCATCCCGAGAGAGACCCATCCAAAAACGGCTTTCCGAAGCAAACCAGTAGCTGCAGTAGGAGGGAATGTGCCAGATGTCTCAATCTTTGAGATTAACTCGCAGAGCGACAACTCCACTCAGCCACTGACTCGTTCCTAGCTTGGCGAAGCAGTATAAAACTTCTCCATCAGAGTCTCGCCAGGCATTACATTCCCAAATACCACATCCAACTGCTCAAGGGCGGTGTCCAGGGAAGCAGATTCTGATAGCCCACAAAGCAAATCAGCAGCTGAACCCTTAGCAGATCTCCTCATGGCATTGAGAATTGCGGTGTCAGAATAGGAATTCTCGGCGACACAACCAACAATCTCTAGGCCATTGTGAATACCTAACCTCGCCCTTAGCCCCATTTCCCGAAAAGGAAGAGAGTTTGGGACTGGGTGAATTTATGATGGGCATATATGTTGTTTGGCTAGGTTGTAGAGGAGGATGGACACTCTGGTGATGAGAGCCTATGTGAAATGGTGTCGGAGTTGGCGCAGAAAGCTGAGGCCAGCCCTCCGTATGTGAAGTAGTAGGGTATGGTGTCATTGTACCATGACCGTATAATGTTAATATACCCTGAGGGTATGGTGTCAATGTACCCTGAGGGTATGGTGGCGATGTACCCTGAGGCTGAACAAGGCGAGGAATAGGAAGGGACCCCTGCTGCCTGGGTAATGACGCAGGTAAATTAAGCAAGGGACTCTCCTCCAACTGCATAAGTGGAGAGGCTCTACCAGAACTCTGAGGAACGGTAGAGAACTGGGGGGACTGACGAGGCAGAGGCGTGTTCCTGTAAGCTGGAGGTGGCGGTGGTATGGAATGAGTAACATTCATTGGATGCCCACCTTCAGCCCCTATACAGTAAGTATTCTGCAATTGGTTTGATATGTCATCTGCCAATCGATGCAGAACCCCAGAGCGGAGGGACAGAGGAAGATGTTGCAGACATTCCATAGCCTCAACAACATCTGGGTCCACACGCTCCAAATTATGCTCAGCCATAGTGGAAAAAAGTGAACAAGTAAGTGTAATAATGTACAAGTCTAGTGCATAAAGTGTAATGGAGTTATGTCAAAGTGTCAAAAGTAACTGATGACAAATGAGTATATGCAAATGTACCTAACTAAAGGCAAAAAGAATCTCACAAGTTAAGATTCAACAACTTACAACACTACTATCTAAGTCTAAGAATAGCAAATGCTGTGGGGAAGATGAAAAAATTAACTCCTCCAAAAAGGATACACAATGGGATGCATGGTACTGGAAGGTGTAATTGTGACTAAGTTTGAATGTAAAGGTTTAATCAAAGTGATTCAAGATAATATAACTAAGTGAAGTGTTGTGTGACTCAAGTGACTCAAGTTATGTCAGATATATAATCTGAAGCGGAGTTAAAATGTTGTGTTTCTGAAACAGGTATGTTCTCAAAGGCAAGAGTGTATTGCTACAGATGTATGACTGTCCAGGGACAATAGCAAAGTGTAGCAGCAAAGTGTAACAGCCAATAAATGTAAACACCCAGATGTAAACAGGAAGTATGAAGATACAACTAGAATGTCAGCACCGAGATGTCAACAATATGAGCAGGGGAACTGTAGGACAAATCAACCTGAGCAACTCTTCAGCCAAGAGTAAACTGACAAGATATTGATAAAGTAAGCCACAAAGCTTACCAACAATGACAACTGTTATGCGACAGTATGAATAATGCAACAATGAACATCAATGATGAAGGAACAAGACAACACAAGACGAGACACGATGTTAAAGACTCGCGAAAAAGCAAGGAATGAAGAATATCTCCACAGCGGTAGAGATAACGCGAAAGAAAAATACCGGGAACGCCAATAGCAAGTGTGGACGGAAGAAAAAGAGAAAGAATAAGGTGCAATAAATTTATCCTATCCTATTACATTAATATTTAACTACTATAATAGGTAATTGTATGGTGAAAGTATTATTTACTGAAACTGTGATATTAAATTGTTAAGTTTATCAATACAGATTATTTACTTGATTAGAATAAAATTCAATGATAATCAATGAAAATTACAATTGCCCAATTACATTTATAAAAATATGAATATATATATATAGGCAATGTAGAAATAGAAATCTGTGCAAAGTTGTAGAAATAGAAATCTATTCAAAGTTGTAGAAATAGAAATCTATTCAAAGTTGTAGAAATAGAAATATAATGAAAATAGTATCTGGTGTATATACAATTGTAAAATGCTTAATGAATTTTTTAAAAATTTTTCAGAATGACTTCGAACACATGATCATGGCATCAATTCAATCGACTCAACAGTTCATTATGTACAATCAAAGTTCATGGGGCACATATATCAAGGATGTGGTTGAAAACACAGTTCTCCATGGATGAGATCAGTCTGTAAGCAAAATGTTCAGCTTGCTGCTGAGCGGCAGTCATAAGGCTCTCAGAGTCCCTGTGCAACAGTACTTACAGCTTATGAAGAATCCTCAGTCCATGAAATCATATTAAACACATCCAAGAATAATCCTCACAAAAAGGAGTCAATTCGTGCCACCAAAGAATATTCACATCATGGTCTCCCAACAGAGTTCATCCATATAGGCTGTTCACTCCAGATGAAGATGAGAATGGAGGTGAATGATGTCTGTCTTGAGACAAGCAGCCCCACGTTGGGCGCCAAATTGTAGCCATGTTTATACAGTTCGGCTCTGGGCTGCTGCTCAAGACGACACAAGGCAATGGTGATGAAATGAATTTTATTATGTGAAGAATGAAGCTGTTGCTGAGGTCAAACCTGAGAAGGGAAAGAATGTTTCCAGCTCAGCAACAGCAAGTGGAGTCATAAAAATTAAACTCAAGTAAATAATTTTAACAAATGTTAACAATTAATATTAAATAGTTTTAAATATCACAGTAAACACATTATCAATTCAACTACCAGTTATTGCACTCTTGAACAAAAAACCGAAAGCACATGGCTTCAGCCATGTTTACAATTTACATCAATTATAAAGCAATATATTTAACTAAATCTATATAATTATCAATTAAATATTACTTCAAATGTTATAATATTATTATTGTAATAACAGTTTACACCTTTTTATAGGAATTTATAAAGTAAAGAGGCAGATGGAAACAGATTAGAAAAATGGCCATACCTGAGAAGGGAAAGAATGTTTCCAGCTCAGCAACAGCAAGTGGAGTGAGGTGGAAAACAGGTGTCCAAAGGATGTAAGGTCAGAGGACAAAATAGCCAATTAGAAAGTAGGTAGCACATCAAAGGAAGTCTTTGATGTGACCTATTAATAGAAAAGGGAAAATCCCAAAGAATGGGTTACCTGGCTAAGAATGGAGAAGAAGTTAAGGGAAATCCTTGTTGACAAGGGTACATAAAACAGAAGGAAAAGGTGAAGATGTACAGAGGCGGCATTCAACGGCAAGACTCGGACAACATGGAACAAATGAACATTTAACATTTGATGATATTTATGAAACATGATGAAATGAATTGTGATGTGATTCAGCACTAAAAAAAAAGCACTGCTACACCAGCATGAAAATGTAATCGTTTATGTCTGTTTTGGAGGCCTGTGACATGCGATTCAAATAATACCCATTCCTACACACGCTCTGACACCAGTGTCAAACAATGACAGCAATGTTAAATGTGAAAAGGAAATTGAACTTTGCAAAAGGAAGTGATGAACACAAGTGGTAGCCGATGTGAAAAAGAAGGCTCCAGAGGGAGTTGAACCCTCGACCTCCTGCTTACTAGGCAGACGCTCTAACCAACTGAGCTATAGAGCCGATAGGACAGACGAATCTACAATAGACTATACTCCATTTATGATTCACCTGGCTTTGAAAACCGTTTATGTCTGTTCGGGAGGCCTGTGACATGCGATTCAAATAATACCTATTCCTACACACGCTCTGACACCAGTGTCATTTTGCTGGAAACAATGACAGCAAATGTTAAATGTGAAAAGGAAATTGAACTTTGCAAAAGGAAGTGATGAACACAAGTGGTAGCCGATGTGAAAAAGTAGGCTCCAGAGGCAGTCGAACCCTCGACCTTCTGCTTACTAGGCAGACGCTATAACCAACTGAGCTATAGAGCCGATGGGATAGACGAAGCTACAATAGTGTAAACTCCCTTCATGATTCACCTCAGTTAAGAAAATCGTGTATGTCTGTTTTGAAGGCCTGTGACATGCGATTCAAATAATACCTATTCCTACACACGCCCTGACACCAGTGTCATTTTGCTGGAAACAATCACAGCAAATGTGAAAAGGAAATTGAACTTTGCAAAAGGCAGTGATGAACACAAGTGGTTACCGATGTGAAAAAGAAGGCTCCAGAGGGAGTCGAACCCTCGACCTTCTGCTTACTAGGCAGACGCTCTAACCAACTGAGCTATAGAGCCGGTGGGATTGACGAATCTACAATAGACTATACTCCATTTATGTTTCACCTGACTTTAAAACCAGCATGAAAATGTAATCGTTTATGTCTGTTTTGGAGGCCTGTGACATGCGATTCAAATAGTACCTATTCCTACACACGCTCTGACACCAGTGTCAAACAATGACAGCAATGTTAAATGTGAAAAGGAAATTGAACTTTGCAAAAGGAAGTGATGAACACAAGTGGTAGCCGAAGTGAAAAAGAAGGCTCCAGAGGGAGTTGAACCCTCGACCTCCTGCTTACTAGGCAGACGCTCTAACCAACTGAGCTATAGAGCCGATAGGACAGACGAATCTACAATAGACTATACTCCATTTATGATTCACCTGGCTTTGAAAACCGTTTATGTCTGTTCGGGAGGCCTGTGACATGCGATTCAAATAATACCTATTCCTACACACGCTCTGACACCAGTGTCATTTTGCTGGAAACAATGACAGCAAATGTTAAATGTGAAAAGGAAATTGAACTTTGCAAAAGGAAGTGATGAACACAAGTGGTAGCCGATGTGAAAAAGTAGGCTCCAGAGGCAGTCGAACCCTCGACCTTCTGCTTACTAGGCAGACGCTCTAACCAACTGAGCTATAGAGCCGATGGGATAGACGAAGCTACAACAGTGTAAACTCCCTTCATGATTCACCTCAGTTAAGAAAATCATTTATGTCTGTTTTGAAGGCCAGTGACATGCGATTCAAATAATACCTATTCCTACACACGCTCTGACACCAGTGTCATTTTGCTGGAAACAATCACAGCAAATGTGAAAAGGAAATTGAACTTTGCAAAAGGCAGTGATGAACACAAGTGGTTACCGATGTGAAAAAGAAGGCTCCAGAGGGAGTCGAACCCTCGACCTTCTGCTTACTAGGCAGACGCTCTAACCAACTGAGCTATAGAGCCGGTGGGATTGACGAAGCTACAATAGACTATACTCCATTTATGTTTCACCTGACTTTAAAACCAGCATGAAAATGTAATCGTTTATGTCTGTTTTGGAGGCCTGTGACATGCGATTCAAATAATACCTATTCCTACACACGCTCTGACACCAGTGTCAAACAATGACAGCAATGCTAAATGTGAAAAGGAAATTGAACTTTGCAAAAGGAAGTGATGAACACAAGTGGTAGCCGATGTGAAAAGAAGGCTCAGAGGAGTCGAACCCTCGACCTTCTGCTTACTAGGCAGACGCTCTAACCAACTGAGCTATAGAGCCGGTGGGATTGACGAATCTACAATAGACTATACTCCATTTATGTTTCACCTGACTTTAAAACCAGCATGAAAATGTAATCGTTTATGTCTGTTTTGGAGGCCTGTGACATGCGATTCAAATAGTACCTATTCCTACACACGCTCTGACACCAGTGTCAAACAATGACAGCAATGTTAAATGTGAAAAGGAAATTGAACTTTGCAAAAGGAAGTGATGAACACAAGTGGTAGCCGAAGTGAAAAAGAAGGCTCCAGAGGGAGTTGAACCCTCGACCTCCTGCTTACTAGGCAGACGCTATAACCAACTGAGCTATAGAGCCGATAGGACAGACGAATCTACAATAGACTATACTCCATTTATGATTCACCTGGCTTTGAAAACCGTTTATGTCTGTTCGGGAGGCCTGTGACATGCGATTCAAATAATACCTATTCCTACACACGCTCTGACACCAGTGTCATTTTGCTGGAAACAATGACAGCAAATGTTAAATGTGAAAAGGAAATTGAACTTTGCAAAAGGAAGTGATGAACACAAGTGGTAGCCGATGTGAAAAAGTAGGCTCCAGGGGCAGTCGAACCCTCGACCTTCTGCTTACTATGCAGACGCTCTAACCAACTGAGCTATAGAGCCGATGGGATAGACGAAGCTACAACAGTGTAAACTCCCTTCATGATTCACCTCAGTTAAGAAAATCATTTATGTCTGTTTTGAAGGCCTGTGACATGCGATTCAAATAATACCTATTCCTACACACGCTCTGACACCAGTGTCATTTTGCTGGAAACAATCACAGCAAATGTGAAAAGGAAATTGAACTTTGCAAAAGGCAGTGATGAACACAAGTGGTTACCGATGTGAAATAGAAGGCTCCAGAGGGAGTCGAACCCTCGACCTTCTGCTTACTAGGCAGACGCTCTAACCAACTGAGCTATAGAGCCGGTGGGATTGACGAAGCTACAATAGACTATACTCCATTTATGTTTCACCTGACTTTAAAACCAGCATGAAAATGTAATCGTTTATGTCTGTTTTGGAGGCCTGTGACATGCGATTCAAATAATACCTATTCCTACACACGCTCTGACACCAGTGTCAAACAATGACAGCAATGCTAAATGTGAAAAGGAAATTAAACTTTGCAAAAGGAAGTGATGAACACAAGTGGTAGCCGATGTGAAAAAGAAGGCTCCAGAGGGAGTTGAACCCTCGACCTTCTGCTTACTAGGCAGACGCTCTAACCAACTGAGCTATAGAGCCGGTGGGATTGACGAATCTACAATAGACTATACTCCATTTATGTTTCACCTGACTTTAAAACCAGCATGAAAATGTAATCGTTTATGTCTGTTTTGGAGGCCTGTGACATGCGATTCAAATAATACCTATTCCTACACACGCTCTGACACCAGTGTCAAACAATGACAGCAATGTTAAATGTGAAAAGGAAATTGAACTTTGCAAAAGGAAGTGATGAACACAAGTTGTAGCCGATGTGAAAAAGAAGGCACCAGAGGGAGTCGAATCCTCGACCTTCTGCTTACTAGGCAGACGCTCTAACCAACTGAGCTATAGAGCCGGTGGGATTGACAAATCTACAATAGACTATACTCCATTTATGTTTCACCTGACTTTAAAACCAGCATGAAAATGTAATCGTTTATGTCTGTTTTGGAGGCCTGTGACATGTGATACAAATAATACCCATTCCTACACACGCTCTGACACCAGTGTAATTTTGCTGGAAACAATGACAGCATATGTTAAATGTGAAAAGGAAATTGAACTTTGCAAAAGGAAGTGATGAACACAAGTGGTAGCCGATGTGAAAAAGAAGGCTCCAGAGGGAGTCGAACCCTCGACCTTCTGCTTACTAGGCAGACGCTCTAACCAACTGAGCTATAGAGCCGATGGGATAGACGAATCTACAATAGACTATACTCCATTTATGAATCACCAGGCTTTAAAAATCGTTTATGTCTGTTCGGGAGACCTGTGACATGCGATTCAAATAATACCCATTCCTACACACGCTCTGACACCAGTGTCATTTTGCTGGAAACAATGACAGCAAATGTTAAATGTGAAAAGGAAATTGAACTTTGCAAAAGGAAGTGATGAACACAAGTGGTAACCGATGTGAAAAAAGTAGGCTCCAGGGCAGTCAGAACCCTCGACCTTCTGCTTACTAGGCAGACGCTCTAACCAACTGAGCTATAGAGCAGATGGGATAGACGAAGCTACAATAGTGTAAACTCCCCTTTATGATTCACCTCAGTTAAGAAAATCGTGTATGTCTGTTTTGAAGGCCTGTGACATGCGATTCAAATCATACCTATTCCTACACACGCCCTGACACCAGTGTCATTTTGCTGGAAACAATGACAGCAAATGTTCAATGTGAAAAGGAAATTGAACTTTGCAAAAGGAAGTGATGAACACAAGTGGTAGCCGATGTGAAAAAAGAAGGCTCCAGATGGAGTCGAACCCTCGACCTTCTGCTTACTAGGCAGACGCTCTAACCAACTGAGCTATAGAGACGATAGGATAGACGAATCTACAGTAGTCAATACTCCATTGATGTTTCACATGGCTTTAAAACCAGCATGAAAATGTAATCGT